CCCCTAACAATAGGTTAATGGATTCTACTTCGTTTGATAGTGTTTTTGACACTAGATAAAAAAGATAAAAGAACCCATAAATAAATATACAAAAAAAACACATCACCTATCTACAAATTACTGCTGTTCTCTTTTTCCAGCAAAATTACATAATTGTATGGCTAAAGGCTTAAACAGTTTACTAATCCCTCATGCCAAATCTTCTGAGTAACACATATTATTTATTTTAGACAATTACCTGTACTTATTTTTTTCTTCAAAGACATTCCTTCTTTTTCATCAAATAAAATACTATTACCAAATTTCTATACATATATCTGAAATTGTAACAGGAAATAAAATAAAGACTTTACTATATAATTCCTATAAAACGAGAATACCCAAAATGTTATGTTAAAATATCCACATACATTAATCTTAACCCAAATTGAAATATTAATTGACTAAAATTCAAAGTGAAATTTTATCTTTAATCATAACTGTCCTTTAAAATAGTCATGTGTGCCACTAGATTGACTTGTGGCTGGTTGTCATGGTGCCCATCTCTAGAATGTTTTCTAAAGACAGGCGCGCACCCCTATTGTTTACTGTTTTGAAAAGAGGAAGTGTGCTTGTGGTATTTTGAGAGTGGTACTGTGCGTGAACGTTGCTGTAAGTGCTGTGCATAAGAAGAGCAAGTTTTCTTAAAATGACCCAATTTACCACAAAAATAACAGCTTGACATATTAACCTTTTTAGCATTGCAATTGAAAGAATCGCATAACTCACCAGAACAGTTGTGACAGGAACCTCTCCCATTGCTTGGCCTATTCTGAGGATGTCTGGATCTGGGTCCCTGATATTGTGTCTCCTGTCTAGCCTGCCGTTGGGAGTGCTGATAGCCACCATTTCCCTGTTGAAAGCGATTTCCACCATTTCCCTGGTGATAGTGCTTTCCACCATGTCCTTGTTGGTAAGGCCTACGGGGTCCACCATTATTCCTCCATGGCTGGGACTCTCTTGGCGGGGCCTGCTGAGAAAATTGGGCCTCATTCACTGACTCCTGTATGGCGTTTATGTCAGTCCTCACTTCCTGTAGAGCATTCAGCAAGGCTAAATTGGTTGAGTCCTGCACTGATGAGGTTTTCTGTCTGATTTTGTTCGCGAGTTCAGCTCGGCATGCACAGTTCCTCAGTTGTTCTAAAGAATGAGGGTCATCCTTTACCACATCCGCACTTATGTCTGGCTTCAGTCCATTAATTATGACTGTAATTAGCCAGTCCTGGTCTACACTTCGGTCATTGGTCATACTAGTCACTCGGTGTATAAAGTCCTCTACACTTTCTTGGTCCTTTTGTTTAACATCCATCAGTTGTAAATTATGTCTTGAGGACGGCTGGAATCGATTATGTAAGGCCCTGCGAATAGACTCTAGTGACGATTTTACCGTGCGGTCCAAAGCGTAGAACCAGCTTTCGGCAGCCCCTTCCAGATAAAAGGGGAGGGTGTTGATGGCGACTTCCTCTGTGAGCTTTTGGAGGTTAATAAAGGTTATGAACTTGTACCACCATTGTACCACAGACACCTTCCCATTGAATTTTTCAAGTCTAACTTTGGGAAAAGATGAGCTTCCCTGAGAGTTGGTTGGATAATTCCTGTTGGTTAAAGAAGAGGGTGGATCAAAAGTGAGTGGGATTGGGGGTTGTCTGGTTGACACTTCCCTCAACTGTCTCCTTAGGGATTCGATTTCTTCTTCTTTTTCGTCTAACTCTCGGTTTCTGCGGTCTTGGAGACGTTGTATCTCCTCCTGTTGACTTCGTAACTCTCTCTGTAACGAACTCACTTCTTCCTGGTTGTAATCTTCCTCGATGGTGTCGGAGTTTTCCGGTGCTGAAGCATTAGATGGAGCAGGCATTTTGCTGTACTTTCTTAAGTTATATCGGTGAAAGGCTGTATTTTCTTTCAACCCCACAATATGGTTCATCCGGGTTTCGGATACCCCACCAGTTGTCGTGTCGCCCTATTGGGTGACCGCACTTATCTTGGGAATTTGTCTAGCTCGCTCGCTTGTGAGAGACCCTTATTTATAATGATTCTGCTTTTCAGCCACCAGGTCCAGATTAGGTTTGGGTGCACTGTAATAAGGAAAAGCAAAGCGTGGATCAAATTAAAAACGATGTTACTTTATTCACGTCTCCGAATAGAATGCACAACAAAAAGTCACCAGGCACAATAAAATAAATCATTATGAGTTGCTCGTAGCATTACAAACAAGTGTGCCTTAACCTACCTAACATCTGGTGACTCATAGAGTGATTAAACAATATTAAAAAGACTCACTCTATATAATAAAAAATCTAGACAATGTAATTTCCAACTGAAATACTAAAGCTCGTACTTTTGTTTACACTGGATACATTTAAATTTACCTCCCTCGACTGGAGAGTTTGATAATAATAATAGAGCCAAACAAAGAAAGGCATTATATTTCCGGTATAAAACCGATAAAAAGTAAAACGTGTCTAACTATAAAACTACACTCTACATAGGACTACAGCTACCAAAATACAAGAAAAATCATAAGAACACACATCAAATATAAATGCCCTGATCTCAATATAATACTTTTATAATAGATTTCTATTTTAATGAAAGCTCAAATTTTGTAAACTAAAGCTCAAATTTTTGTAAACTCCAGAAATTAATTGCAAATGTTAATAAATAATTAATTAATCTTTTCTTTATAAGTTCTAGAAAAATAACTTAACCAAATAAAACATTTTTACCATACCTGTAATAAGGAAAAGCAAAGCGTGGATCAAATTAAAAACGATGTTACTTTATTCACGTCTCCGAATAGAATGGCCGAGTTGCGGGCACAATTCCATTCGGAGACCCACGCTTGCCGTGAATTATTTTGTCCAATCAAATTAGTTTTTCTTTGTTAATTTGTATCAATAATAGCCAAAATATCGTATTTTGAAAAATCACATGACATGAACTGACCATTACCTGAGTATTTGACCTGCCACTTAACAAGTTAATCCCCTAACAATAGGTTAATGGATTCTACTTCGTTTGATAGTGTTTTTGACACTAGATAAAAAAGATAAAAGAACCCATAAATAAATATACAAAAAAAACACATCACCTATCTACAAATTACTGCTGTTCTCTTTTTCCAGCAAAATTACATAATTGTATGGCTAAAGGCTTAAACAGTTTACTAATCCCTCATGCCAAATCTTCTGAGTAACACATATTATTTATTTTAGACAATTACCTGTACTTATTTTTTTCTTCAAAGACATTCCTTCTTTTTCATCAAATAAAATACTATTACCAAATTTCTATACATATATCTGAAATTGTAACAGGAAATAAAATAAAGACTTTACTATATAATTCCTATAAAACGAGAATACCCAAAATGTTATGTTAAAATATCCACATACATTAATCTTAACCCAAATTGAAATATTAATTGACTAAAATTCAAAGTGAAATTTTATCTTTAATCATAACGCAGATTTTATTTGACAAAATGAAATATGTCAGAAAGGACAATAGCCTTCTCTACAAATATAGAAAATTGAGAGATAGATTCCCTCAACTTTTTTTTATCGGAATACATGTAATAGTGTGAACTCCTCCCTCATTGAACAAGCATTCTGAGAGTATTGCATTAGCAATACTAGTCCCCTACCGGCAAGTGTAATCTGGTTCCTGTTAAGAATTGAAAATGCCATAATTCCGTCAAAAATTAATGAAGCGGGACGAAATGCAAACTTGATCTATAACTAATCAAGGTAAAGCCACATACCAAAAATCAGCTCAATATCTGAAAGCGTTTAGAAGAAAATTGCGGAAAACCCCTAAAAATTGAAAAGGCCGTAATTCCGTCAAAAATCAGTGAAGCGGAACGAAATGCAAACTTGATCTGTAACTCATCAAGATACACTCACATACTAAAAATCAGCTCAATATCTGCAAGCGTTTAGGAGAAAAGTGCGGAAAACCAAGTGGGACAGACTGACAGACAGACAGAGGGACAGACAGACAGACGGACAGACAGACAGACAGACAGACGGACGGACAGACGGACGGACAGACTCAGAGGAAACCTATAGTCCCCTCCGGTTTCACCGGTAGGGGACTAAATATATTGAAGATTATTTTAAAAATTTTGGAGTTCTGCGTTTTGTTTTCAAGGGAATATATATGCACTACTTGTACTACTTCCCCTTTCTTTCCAGTATAAACATTCATGGATATGCCTCCTGTTTTTCTTTGTTGTAATATTCTTGTAGGCAAACATGTAAAAGACTACATAATCTGCAGATTCATCTATAGACAGTGACAGTGTGCTTTTGTTTAAATACTGTAATTTGGATTCATGCATTTCAGAAACATATTTTTTTCCTCTAAAGTCTATCAGATAAAATTAAACAATTTAAAACTATAGATAATGCTGTATACGAGAATATTCGCAATATTCAGCAAGCAAAATGGCCAAATCAAAGAAGACAGAATTATCTCTTAAACACGAATGTGTCTGGGAGATTTTAATCAATGGGGTGGGGGTTAAAATATTGTTGCTGCTGACTTTTTGGTGGTGGTGGGGGGGGGGGGGGATCGACCTTTTTATTTGAGTTTCAAAAATTTCTATGCTTTATATAACAGATTGCTTTTTATTCAATATTGCTACCCCCGCCCCCAACCCCACCCCACCCACCACCCCCGAAAAATGTTCGTGCACAAAAGAATAGTGATATTAGTTGATAGCTCTAAATTAGTACACACTAATGTACAATGTCAATGACCTTTAAAATATCGATAAAACAATTTATTTTAATTACACACGATCTAGAGTAAGTCACTTTCATAATGTGGGCGGAAATCAAAACTTATTACAAGTGTAGTTCACAAACATTCCCAAGCTTTTGATTGGACGGTAAATAGACTGCAAATTAAGTCTTGTTTCGAAAATACTACTTAAATAGGTCCTAATGAAGCTTGATATAGACATTTACAGTGTTTGAAATTGCAGGAGTAGCAGAAGATGAATTCCTTTTTTATTTTGTTGTATTTCGGCTTTCTAGCTAATATCTCACGGGGACAAGACTGTTACGATGACCAAGGTAACGCCCAAATGTGTAGTCCCCCATTTGTAAATGCTGCCTTCAATAGATCTGTTCAGGCCACCAATACGTGTGGTCAGTCGGGTCCCTCAGAATTCTGTCCTTTTTCGCGGTGGGGTCGGCGACTACCATGTCAAGTATGTGACGCTCAGAGTCCCAGAACCAGGCATCCCCCAGAAATGATGACGGACGGGGAATTCCCCAGGACCTGGTGGCAATCCGATACAATGTTGGGAGGGATAAGGTACCCTGTTGTAGTCAACCTAACTCTGGATTTAAGTAAGTAAATGCACTGAGTATATTTCTTGTCTTTAATGTACTTTAAAATTTGCTGGATTTAAATACATTGAGTGCAGACTTTGTCTTACAATGTAATTTTAAATTTTCTTGTTTTACCATAAGAAAATTAAAAAAAGAATATAATTGTGAATTTTGAATTAGATAAAATTAATAATTTATTAAAAAGCATAGTGTTGCTGATTTTCATTCCTGACAAACGTACTAAGTAATCACTTCTTTCTTTCCAGAGAAAGCTTATGATATTACTTACATCAATTTGCGTTTCCAGTCTTCAAGACCTGAAAGTTTTGCTATCTACAAGAAAACTACTGAAAGCAGTGACTGGATTCCATACCAATTTTTCAGTGCGTTCTGCCAGAGAATATATGGAAAAAATAATAGGCTTTTTCCAGCTACAACCGATGAAGCCATCTGTACGAACAGATACAGTGACATTAGTCCACTGTCTGGTGGCCGTGTACCATTTAGTACCTTGGCAAGTCGCCCTGGTGCGTTTAATTTCGACAATAATCCTGTCTTGCAGGTATGTTTTCTTCTTAGTTTGTCTTTCAATTTTCAAAAGTATGAACATGCAATTGAATGGGAATTAAATTTTGCGCTTGATATCTCCATGAACGGATTTCCAAACCACACCACACAATTTTTACCTTAATTTTTTTTATAAGGAATGGGTAACAGCCACAGCTATTCGAATTTCCCTCACCCGAATGAATACCTTTGGGGATGAAGATTTTGGTGGTGATGAGGTCTTGAAATCATATTACTACGCTATTTCTGATATAGATATTGGTGCCAGGTACTAAAATGTTAAACATTCTGTAATTATCGGATTACTAAATATTTTGGTTTTTGTTCAGATCTAAAAATCATAAATACTCATTTAAAAGGACAAAATAAGCAAGTTTGCATTTATTAATTGGTACAAAATCCCTCAAATATACATTTCAGTACAACATGGAAGATTTGTTCAGAATAGTTTTACCATTTCAGACACGTTACGTGTCTACATGTACACAGTGTATATTTCTATAGGTGTAAGTGTAATGGTCATGCCAGTGAATGTTATACTCCAAATGGTCAGGAATCAGACAGAAAAATTTGTAGATGTCAACACAACACAGCTGGTGTTGACTGTGAGAAGTGCCTGCCTATGTACAACGACAAACCATGGGCAAGAGCAACATACACCAGCGCTAATGAATGTCAGCGTAAGTATTCCAAAACAAAATGTGTTACTTTCTCTTTGATTTTTTTATGCATGAAAATATGACTTTGATGAACCTTTCAAAATCAGAATTAGAACAGAAATTCTCTTTTCTTAGTTTTTCTTTACTCTCAATTGTTTTAACACACACTCATCAAGCAAGCCAACAGCTTCATTGATAGAATGGCTACTTGTATTTAAGGTTGTGAATGCAACAACAAAGCAGACAGCTGCTATTTTGACCAAGATCTTTACCAGAGGACAGGGAGGGGAGGTCGTTGTGTTGATTGTCGAGACAACACTGACGGGCCTCAGTGTGAAAGGTGCAAGGACAACCACTATCGAAGGTCATCCGATGGAAGGTGCACACCGTGTGATTGTGATCCTGAAGGTTAGTGTTGTTTTTTCCTGAAGGTTGAAGAAAGGTATATTCTTTTCAAATGGATGTACTCAAAAATGAACATTTGTAATTTTAAGCAATACAAAACCGTTCTTCATACAAATGTCATGTTAGAAGTTATTATGTGTATTCTAAAAATAAAACTTAATATTGCAAAAAGGTATGAAAACTATTAAACAATCGGTCTAATAGTAATGAACGGCAGAAACAAAACTCTGTAAAGCTAACATGATCTTTTGACTTGACTTTTGAACTTAAAAATTATGACTATTTGTTTTTAATACGTCAGGTTCTGAAACTACTCAGTGTGATGCAGCTGGACAGTGCCAGTGTAAACCAGGTTTTACAGGAGAGAAATGTAGACGGTAGAACATTTTTCTTTGTTATTTACGTTTTTTATTATTCTTTGTCTAAATTACAATTAGACTAAAAGGTGATTGGTTGGCTGGATTGATGCCCCCTGATATGACTTTGTACCCTTTAAAAAAGAGCAATTATTTTTATAAATGTATTTAGATAAATGCTGCCGCGATTTCCTGATTATGCAGATGCCTAACATCATCTAGTTATTACATCTATTCCACTCTGAAGTGTTTTACAACAATCTATGATTAAAAACTTGCATGAAATTCCCGTCTAAATGTCAAACCTTCTAAAATGATGTTGTGTGTCATCTCTCTGCAGTGTTTAGAGAATTTAGTTTCCAACACGATTTAACTATGCATGATAAGGTTTTTCATTTATGAAAAAAAAAAGAAATAAAATGATCGAGTGATTCTCAACCAGTTTAATTGCTTCCGTTTAAATTTCTTTTAATTTCTAATTTATTTTAAAAGGATGTATTAATAAAATGATATTTATAATAAAATTTTGGCACAACTGGCATAATTTAATTTCTGTTTTATCACGGATATTTTCCTAAGATGATGAAAACACTTTAATGAGTAGTTTATAAATATTGATTCATCGATTGATTGATTGATTTATTTATTAATAGATCCTCAGCGAGACGTTGAATTCTTCTGATGGCTCTCGGTGATTTCAAACTATCCTGGACGAGGGAAACAAATCCTACTATTATTTAAACGTACATTTACTTGTCAGAAATCTGATTTAGAATCAAAATGAATTAAAATCAGCGATTTTGCTAATGCTTTTGGATTTCTTTTAAGAGCAAAATTGTTGTCAGTGTTTTTTTGAATTGAAATCAAATAAAACTAATGTTTTTGTTAATACCCTCTTTTTGAACTATGATCTATGTCATCAACCGTACATGATTATGACTAAAGTTCATTAGAGTATGATTTAATTTATTTGTTTCATCGCTTTAATAATAATAAAAGAAAGGATTAATAAATTGAAGGCATTTTTTTTTATTGTAAGGCTACTTTAACAATATTATATGATATATTTTGTTCCTATTTAAACGTAGCGTTTAGAAATCGTATCCTTTCTTCCTAGGCATTCTGTCCATTGTAAGAGTCTTTGTTGTAAGATTACCATTATTTGAATAAAGATACTATTGTAAATCTATCTCATTTCATAAAGTTGTTTGTAATGTATTCAGTTGTTTGTGTTAAGGGCAATTGAACATGTCTCTGAAATTATTCAAGATGTACATGTATTCTGAGTTCCTAGATTACACAATATTCACACATTACATATATAGCAGTACCTTTTATAACTTTCTACATAAAGTCAATGAAATTATTTGTTCAGGAATAATGCTGCCTAAAGTATGATTAAATTCTAGCATATATACGGTGCATATATTTTTCAAATTGTGTTTTTATGGAAAATAAATAATTATGAGAAATAGTACCCTTAATCTCAAACATTTTTTTTTGCTTTGTGGCGTCATACTAACATTGTTCACCCTCAGTATTAACATTGAATATAGCCAACTCTTAGTATCAACATTGAATATGGCCATGATTGTTTCTAAATACTAACATAGAAAGTATTTTATTTTAATTTTACTCTCTCTCCTCATATACATATTTACTATTTCCTAAATTCATAATAAAGTATCTTTTTTTATCTTCTTCAAAATTTCATGAGAATTACTCACAAAGGTAGAAATTATAATGGATCTCTGTACTGAGTTCGGTTTTGTTAATTTTAAAACAAACCTCATGTGGCCATCAAATATTCAACTTTATTTTAACTAGGTTGCGTCATAATATATCATGTATCGGGAAGTTAGAAGAAAAAATCTTTAGAAATTTTACACTGGTTTATAAACAAATCGTTCAATGTGATCTTATTTCAAATTGGATGCAAAGATATCAATTTTAATGCTTTGGTTCATATGAATTGAATGCTGAAGGAAGATTTTACATGCATGTTGCATGCCCCTGAAAATAAGTTTCTTAAGATTCTTTAGGGTCAGTATGGAGGGTCCCAGGATTCAAGAATATTGTGGAGTATGAACATAAGGTTTTAAAAATTGAAAACTAGACAAAAGACACCCTGATTGAGAAGGAAGTACTCCAGGAAAAGCCATTTCTTAATGCAAATATTTTCTGTTTATTATAGTGAAATAGTGATCGATCTCACTATTTTTTATTTTTAAGCAGTTATTTTGTAAATTTGTAAACACGGATCTCTGGAGATAAACCCTGTCAACTGGTCACACCAGCCGTGAGCCCTATGTATTAATCAGGTAAACGGAATAATCCGCCATCAAATTCAGTATAAAAACAATGGCCTTAATTGGTATGAAACATGTCAGTCAAAATACGACCTAATGATAAGTTGTATTGACAAACAAGGTCATCAAAACGACCATAGAATTTTCGAAATGCTGACTTTAGAGCGAGGTTGTGGAAATCCCTGTAACATTTACTTACTTGTCAGTAGCCTGACACGGTTTAAATTGACAGTACTCAGAGCATGCTCTTAAGTATCGAATAAGTTTGGAGACATAAATGCCATATGCAGATGATGGTGGAATATTACTACATGAACAATGAAAGTTGACGATGGAAAAGATGAAGCCATCTCGTTTGTCGTACAGTTTTGTTGTTAGCTGGCCCTTGTCGTTCTAAAATCAGTAAAAAATCCAAATATTAAAAAGATGTGACAAACTCTGTTGTGTCTTTTATTTCGAGTTTACTGGGGTATATCGAATCGACATATGAATAAAAGTACTAGTAACTATTGTTAATTAATAAAACGTCGTCGGTGTATCTAAATGTCCAGTTGAAGGTCACAGCAAGAGCTTTCTTCTTCTCACGTAAAAGTTCTTATAAAATATTTCTATTTTTTAAACATTTTTTTTTATATATGCTATTTCTTAGAAATAAAAAAACAGGTTGGCAAATAAAGAAACACAATTAGTTTCCATCGAAAATACAACAGATTTGTGGAAGATCTGGTATCCAAAGACTACAAAGCATTCTTTTAACCGCATACTACTTGCGTGTAGATTCAGACTGATTTTAAACAAAGTAATTTTGTTGATGACCAATCTCAAGAAAGGAAAAAAAAAATATAAACCATAAATTAAAAAGAAACAATATTAACTATTTTATGAAGATAATACAATGTAGCATGTATTTAACGACCATGGACGGAGGTAATAATAAAATACTATATTGTATGAAATCATGAAATATTTAGGACATACAAAACCACACAATAACTTAATAGTAAATTCGGTTTTTTCTACATCGTTCTTAGGTCGTCCATAATACATTTATTAAGGCCAAATCAAAATGAAATTTAATAGAAACAGCCAAAAAAGTTCTCATGTCAAAGATGTATTCAATAGATGAAACTAAAACAAACAGACAAACAAAAAGCAAAAGGAGAAAATATTTCAACGTAGAACCCTACTTTTATAACAAATCTTAATAGTTATGACTTGAAAACTTGACACTGAAGTTCTGATGCTGCGAGCTAATTATTGCGTAGAAATGAGACCATTATTTTTTTCTTTTCTAAATGATCATCACCCTTGATATCCGCAATACCTTACTATTAAGAAAGCCTATTTCTGAATCTTTAAAGTAAAAAAAAAAACCAACTGATCAAGAAACATTAGAATAAGCAATAATTCTTCGAAATCTTGATTTAATCCGAAATCTGACCGAATTTTCAGATCGTTTCTTAACAAATGCATTGTTATATATTAAGGTTTTACTGACATCATGAATTTTAATTAAGTTTTGCTTTTTAATTACTCAAATGTTCTTTGAAACACTAGACGAGTAATATTATACAAAATTTTCACACATAAGTTTTTTTACTGATTTCTATTAATATTTAAAGGTTTTAAATTATAATGTTAATTTTACGGGGTAAAACCAGTATTTTGATTTTTTTAATACATTATTAAGTACTCCAAAGCGAGCATTATTTTGATGTGACCTATAAATTGATTGATTTTCACGCTTTTAATAATGAAGCTTCATATTCTCTTTTTAAAACATTTATCAACATTATTCTACTCAAATGAAGAATACTATTTAATATACAAAATATTAAATTCATAGATAAGATACTAGTAAAGTTCCATTCATATTGGGTTCTCATTAAAAGTGTAAGACATCTAGATCAAGCAACTTGATTATTTTGATTATACAAATGTAACACTTAATTTGGTTAATCCATTGAGATATCGATTTCAAAGAAAAGCAGATTGACCTCGCTCGAAATTTCAGGTCGATATTCTTTTTTTAAAAGTCAATATTTCTATAAATTTACCGAATTAAGGACTATGTTTTTGCGGACAAATAAGAGCCAAACACTTTAGATGAAAGAACGATTATCATTGGCTAAAATGTCGATCATGATCCAATCATATTTAGCAAAAAATTTTCGATTTTCCCGTAATCGAGAAAAATTTAGCACATGATATAGAGCAAACCAATCAGATTTATTGAACTACACCGTAAAAATAAAATATATTTTTTCGATTTTGACACTTTTACACAGTATCCTGAAAACATTTTGCTGGATAGGTCGATTTGAATACATTTCAGTATGTGTTTGGAACGTTTGCTTTTTGTATACACTTTATGCATTTCATTATGCAACCATGCAGTATGCCAGTTTTCAGAAGAAAGTCATGGTAAGAAAACAGTTGGAATATTTCACTTTTGTTGTTGTTGTTGTCTTTATTTGTTTCGTGACTTTTCAAATATTGAAGTAATTTACACCCCTCCCCCTAAAAAAATCAAATTTGATGAATAAGGACCGGAAAACGTATCTTTAGATTATTATTTTAAGTGATTCTTTTTACATCAATAAAGATAGTCTTTTTAAAGATTCGGTGTCACCTTAATTTTCCTTTCTTTCGTAATTGTTTACTTATTTGAAGAATTGCCTCAAAGGTATATGCTTTATTATTATTTCAAAGTCTTTTTATTGTTTTATTTTTTCCTGTTGCTTGGCTTCCAATCTGTTAAAAAAAGAAATAGTTTTATAGCATTTTTAATTTGTTATCAGCTGATTTGTTTAAAACTTTTGCCTTCATTTTCAGTGTCGATTTTTCATGTACTTAATAAATATTTAAAAAAAAAAATCACCCCTTGCAATATTTTCATTTAAAAAAACCCACCCAGAAATATCTAATCATTTCGTTTATTATATTGGCAATCTAAATTTTTGGAATTTTTTTTAGAAACGATTATGTTTTATCATTTAGCTACTATCATAATATTGATAAACAGAAACAGTATGAATTACAGTTGACTGTGACTTCGAGACAGATGATTGTGGCTGGGAATCTCACGACTCTGCCTTGGCTAATCAGCCAATTCTAGAGGATGCTTATCAGTTGTGTTTCCTAAAAAGGATGCCTTATGCTTGTAATCCTGCTGAAAACTTTTATTATGCTGGCTCATGGTATCTAAGAAAAACAAGGAATGTAACCATGGATATTTCTTTATCAAATGGTAAGAAAACGAGTTTTATATCGTTTTATTTTAAATCTATTGTGAAATATAGGACAATTCAGTCGAGGAGTATGCCAGTCAATGGGCTTAATATGAAGGGGAATACCTCGACACTTTGTCAAAATAGAGTTTTGATGTAAAAAAAAAATCAGCTTCCGATTAGACAGTTAAAAGACAAAATGCGTATTATCTATCAGTTAGTTTTTTTCGGTATACTAGAAGTGATCCAAGAAAGACTACATGAACGATATGTATTGGTTCTAGTAAACAAAGCATACAAGAACAAAAGTCTTTGTTTATAAGGCTCCATATTGGAACTGCAATTTAGAAGAACTTGCATGGCTTTAATTCCATAACCGGTAATCCGATTCTTTCAAAGGACGATAATTTCAAATTACGTTTCAGTTTTAAATACTTCAACAGAAGTAAATATGACTTACCGTACCTAAACATTCGAAAACTTCATAAGCATTCTAAAAACAAAAATACATGTATGTTGCAGGGTTCAGTTAATGTTATACCAAGCCCCTGTCTTTACTTCTCACAAAAATATTTACTGATGTGAAGGAGAAACTTCAGACATGCTGTGCTAAAACATTTTTAAGGAGTGGTCTAAATCAAATGTGGATT